CAAATATATCGCTATAATTCGTCACCAGAGGGATATCGGCCTAATCTACATTTGTCAGCGCTAATCCTCAGTAGATAAAGAGCCAAAGAGCCAGAAACCCAATGGACAAAGATGAAGTAACAAGACGTCGTAAGATTTACCATTCCAATTTTAAAGAAGATTTTTTCTTAATATTTATTGGTTTTTTTGTGTTTTTAAGGAACTTTTTAAATATAGGCAGTTGTGTAGCCTAAAAAGGAAGGTCCAGCTGTCTGTACTTTGTTCTAGAACACTTTGTAAAAATGGTAATCGTCTGAAATATATTTTTAGAACGACTTTGTCTTTTAATTTTGTAAAAAGTAATTTATTCATCTGACGGAAATCCAAATATATCGCTATAATTCGTCACCAGAGGGATATCGGCCTAATCTACATTTGTCAGCGCTAATCCTCAGTAGATAAAGAGCCAAAGAGCCAGAAACCCAATGGACAAAGATGAAGTAACAAGACGTCGTAAGATTTACCATTCCAATTTTAAAGAAGATTTTTTCTTAATATTTATTGGTTTTTTTGTGTTTTTAAGGAACTTTTTAAATATAGGCAGTTGTGTAGCCTAAAAAGGAAGGTCCAGCTGTCTGTACTTTGTTCTAGAACACTTTGTAAAAATGGTAATCGTCTGAAATATATATTTTTAGAACGACTTTGTCTTTTAATTTTGTAAAAAGTTATTTTTTTATTTTTTAAAATATAGTGATAAGAAAATAATTTTTAATGTTTTGTATCGTCATAAATTTGGAAAAACTCTTTAGCTTGTTATATTTAAACATTTTTAACAGTGATCTTGTTTGGTTCTTCTTAAAAATTACTCGTCTTCTAGTAACCATGGCCCTATTTCATACAGTTCGTTTTCTAATTCAGCCAGTACCAGAACAGGCCATAGCACTATATGGAGAAATATAAGAGAAAGTAAAAAATGGATGAATATTAATAATATCGTACTTACAAGAGCCAACGCTGGCTAAATGTACTAGTGAGTTGGAAATGTATAAGACATTAGATAGAGCTAATGTTAACACGATTTATGTTATATAATTACGTTAAACAACTAATTAAATAATAATTATGACAAATTATTAATATAATTTTATAGATTAGTAAATAGAAAATATTAATATTGTTAAAATATTATTATATGAGACGTTAATTAATATGCGTTTCTTTAAAATAAAACGCCCTTGTAACGGGCGAAAGCCTTCTACGCCAATAAAGATTACATACATACTTACAAGAGCCAACAAATCGAAGGACATGGTGGTAACGAAAATATCTTAAAAATTAATTAAAAATAAAAATTTATTTGAGTGACGTGCTTGAAAGGTGTAATTGATAGTTAGAGAATAATCCAACAAGATCAAGAAAAATTCGATAATAAAAAGTAAGTTCGTTTTGTCAAAATACCTTTACGTCAATTTGACATAATTTTTATATTTTTATGATAAAGCATAATAATGACAGCAATTTGACGCGAAAGTGTACGTTATTCTGACAAGATAAATACATAAAAAATAAATTATTTTCTGATTATGGAAATTGCTTTTTCATTTTATATATTGTACAGTATTGCGACGTTATAAAATAATTTCAATAAAATAAAATGATCATCAGGAAACGGAACAGACGGTCTTCATTAAAAATTGCTATTAACATTGGTTAACTTACAAATTTTCTCAACAAATCACAAACATGCATAAAAATCATATTTAAAAGATCACAAGAAAAATATTTGATCATAAGACAAATATGTAGTTTCGTAACCGTTTTCACAAATCTGTTAATTTATTAATTTATAAATATAAGGCTTACTTAATCATTTTATTTTAATAACTTTATCAATTAAACTTGCAAGACTATTCATTTGGATGAAATTTTTTCTGTACTGTTTATACTGTAGGAAAAAGAAATTAAAGATCCATTTTTCAATCAGCGTGTACATTTTTGGATCTTAGTCAAAGCCGGAAAGAATGGAATTACTTGCGATTTTTTTATCGAACCATCAACCGGTGAAAGAATAAATTTAAATTCTCCTGATTATAGATTTGTCGAAGCTGTTTGGAACAGCAGTAATTTTTGGATTAACTTAAGATCTAAGAAACAGGTGTTTAACATTTTGTATTATCCTATAGTTTTATGTATATTGTTTGATGTTATAATAACTTTTAAATTATACATTAGTATGTAGTTTAATCACAAGTATTAAATCTTCAATATTTATTCTTCAGAATGCGTTATTTGATTTGAAAAATGAGAAATTTTGGATGAAAGTTTTCCCCATTAAATTAAATACCAGTACAGCAGAAAATAATAAATCTTCATTAATTAATGTAATCATTATTTCTACTTTGATTTTTCTATATTGTTATTAAAAGCATTAAAAGTTAAATTTTAAATAGGACCAAATAGTTATGCCCGTATCTTGGACAGAACCCTTTAATATATCTAGCAAAGGTAATTAACATATTTCGGAAAATTTAAAAATTTTTAACAATAATTCTTAAAAACTATTTAAATTTTAGATTTTTATAGAAGATTTCCTAATGGAGCAAAATTAAGATGTTATAGTTGTTTAAAATATCAGAGATTCGCACCTTTTTATTCTGATGACGGACTTATAAGTGAAATTGATTACTATTCTGATAAAGATTGTAAGTAAAAATATTATATATATTTTATCTATTATTTACTTTAAAAATATTAAAAATACGTAAATAATTTTAGACAAATCACTGATAAAAGTTGAAAAAGTTTTTAAAAATCGAAACGATAATATGAAGAAACAAATTATAGATCGTCAAAAACAGACAATCCATGAATACTTTTTACCATTTAGAAAGGATAGTTTAAAAGGTAAGATTTTGCTTTCTTTTTTAATTACAATTTTATAAAACTCAAAAACTCAATTCTAAAGAATTACAATAACTGCAGTTGTGGATGATAATCAAAAAATTTTGTATTATCATCTTAATACCTCTAAAATAATCTTTAATTATCGAAACAGAACATATTTATAATGTGGACGACTCGAAGAAACCAGACGATGAAAGAACAATGATTTTCTATAGTGATTCAAGATTAGATGGTTTAAATAAATTAGTTCGAACTACAGATAAGCTTACAGAAGAATATACTGCAAGAGAAGATAGACTTTGTGAAAGAACTATCAGATATCACAATGTTAGCATTTTGCTTCGTCTAGCTGCAAAAGACAATTCAGACTTTAAAATTTTAGTAAGTTATCATTTGCTGTCGTTATTTCATATATTTAATTTTCTAATATATAATAAAAATTAAAGAGTATCGAAGAAACGTTTTCAAGAAACTACGATCTTTCTGCCGATCAAGATATTTATAAGAAAAGATATTTAATAGAAGATGAGACGTATCTTTTAAAATTTCAAACGGCAGATGATTGCATTAGCCATTCTCTTATAGACATAATAAAACCAAAAGAGAAGAAAAAAGGACATGGTTTTGTATTTACTCACGAAATGTGGTCTGGATTTCAGGTAAATTTGTATTGTTTTATGGACAGAAAATCAGCCTATTAACAATATGTAGCCTTTAAATTATATAAATATTATTATTACCAGTGGTAAAAAGTTAAAATCCACTATCTACGTAGAAAAGATAACGGGCATTCATAAAATAATCTTTATACTTGATTAAATCACATAATTTGAGAACTTTGAGTAGAAATTTTTACAATCAACAACGAAAAATTATAGAGGAGAAGGTGGTATTATGGAACCCCAATTATATTTTAGTGAATTGTAAACAAGGTATTGTAACTACACCCACATTTTTTGTGCGAAAAGTACTGGTAACTAGTAAACTAAATGTTCCTAATTGGATTTTTCGCTAGTGTAATTATAAGTACGGTTTTTGAAGGCTTTTGTACAAAAAGTCCGAAAGTAGGCTTAGGGAAAATCGGGTGGTAATATGGAACCTTACTGTATATTTTCAAAAAAATGCTTTAATGTAGCCAAAAACAAATAGGAAAGGACAACAAATGTTAAATAATTACCAAATTATTTACTCCAATGTATTTTATCGCAAAAATGCTTTTATAATAGAAAAATATGACCTCCATCAACAATATATATTCCAGCAGCTCTTTTTCGATATTCTCGGGAAGAATTGGCTTTCTACCTAGTGTCTTTTTCACAAATTGCTCTGGAGGAATGTCTGCTTGCAAATAGAAAGTTCGGAGGAGTTGAGTTCCATATTACTGTAAAAGCACCAATGGGGTCC